ATAGGTTGTTTTAGATATTAAAACATTATTTTACCAAGCGTTGCCGTATATCTATCAAGTACCAAAAAAAGGTTTTTATTTTACCATTGCCAAGCTTTGGCGTATATCTATCAAGTATCCAAAAAAAAAAAAATGTTAATTTAAGATCCTTATTAAGAATGTATTAAATTTTGAAAAAATTAGTAAAATATCTCTCTCCAACTTTGTATAATATGAGAGGTTTTCTTTTCTTGATCATTCCAAGCTTTTTGATAAGAAGTAAATTAAAAAATTACAATTCAATGAAATAGTGACAAAAAAACAATATAGTTTCAAGAAAATACAACTCTCATACATACATAAGATTTTTTTTTAAAGAAAAATGAATCCTTTTCGTCAATCAATTGGCTTGTAAGTCACATAATCTAGAAGAATACATACAAAGAAAACAGCATCACGTGGAAAAATAGGCCTCACTTTTTGCATATCACATTAATATTTTATAACCATCTTATCTATTTCGTCTTTATTTATTATTTTATTAAAACTTTTCTTTTAAGTCTCCTTCATGAGTAAATACAGTTTACATTTAGAGATTGTTTAGAATATTCTAAATAAGTGTACTTTTTGATTTTATATAAAATATAGATTGAATTTGAAATGATATAGTAGAGAGATGATATGATTTAAATAGAATAGTGACTTTTTGACTTTTTTAAAACACCTCAAACAAGGCCTTAATAAACGTGTATTAGTTAAACCACATGAATGAAAAGTTCATAATTCTAATATTAAAATAGATTGTGCATTAAGAAAACAAGTACAAAGTAAAATTTCAAAGCAATAATAAAGTGAAAGGGAAAGAAAAAAATACAAAACAACAAAAAGCATATTGGTTTGGTCAAAAAAAAAAAAAAAAAAAAAAAGCATATTGACACTACTTCATTGATAGTATCATTATGGGAAATTCAAATATACACAACACACCCCTTTAAAAGGTGTACTATATGCACTTATAATTATGTCATTTTATTCTTTAGTTATTATGAATTTTCTTCTTTAGTTATGACATTATTTTAATCATGACTCATGAGATTTTTAGTTATACCTCATATTATGTTTAGTTATCAATTTTTTTTTTTTTTTAGCTATGACTCAGAAAAGTATGAAGTTATATAATTTTCTTCTTTAGTTATAAAGTGCACATAATACACACTCTTTGAAAAATATGTACATAGTGTTTCCCCATCATTATAGTTCCACTGGGTTGTTTTGGATGCACTACAAAAGTGTACATTTTTATATTTTTTGAGTCACATCATTTTTCATTTTCTATACATCTTTTCGTAAAAAATCAAAAAAATGCACATTTAAATTATTCCAAACAACACATGATACTTCTTGTCAACAAATCATTTTTTATTAAATAATTATTGGGTGTTCTTGGAGTATAACCACGTGGTGCTCTAAGAGTGTCGTAATTAAGTCTATAATTTTTTGACAACATGATCTCGAGGTGTAGTCCATGATAGCATCATCTCGGTAGAGAATGTGAAATCCATATGATTTGTTGACAACATGATTTTGAGATGAAGTCCATGATTTGTTGGCAACATGATCTCGATATTCTATTAATTACAATACTTCTGAAACACTACGTGACCGTATTCTATGATCACCCAATAATTTTTCATAAAGAGAGCAGGAACATCAGCGGCCTACATAGATCATTCGTACATGATCTCGATATTCTTCAAATTCCATCCCTCATACTAACATTAAAAATAATAATAAAATCAAATTACCATGATCAAATTCCATCCCTCATGATCTCGATATTATATATCTCCTATCTTATAAAATCTTAATATCAAGAATTTAAAAAAAAATTCCCCTTAAATCTTCTCCACTAACTCCACTGCCATAGGAAATTAAAAATGTTTTAAATGTATTTTTTCTAGAGATCAAATTACCCTTGCATCAATTCTTTTTATTTTAATATTTTATACTTTTGATAATGAAATTTTTTTAGGGGAGATAACATATTCGAGGAAATCAATATATATATATATATATATCAATAAGTGATAAATATTATAAAAATTAATAATTAAAATTATAAATTTTTAACCAATGTGTTATTGTCTACTGGAAGACCTATCAACATAATTTTAATTTTAAAAATGTAATTTTCCCCATTTTTTTATCATAAAAATTAATAGCCTTTATTTTTCAATGACATTTTGTTTTTGTTTATATATATATATATATATTTTGAAGTGCTCTTTATTTTTTATATTAATTTTAATTTTAAATTTATTTTCTTTACACCATATAGTTTAATTATGATTGAAAATAAAGACTTTTTATTTTATTTTTTTAAATTCATGGAATGTCATTTAAAAATAAAGTACCTTCATTTTTATGTTAAAGAAAAGTTGGAAAAAAAATATTATCAAAAGTATATAAAAATATTAAAATAAAAAAGAATTGAAGAAAGGGTAATTTGGTGTTTAAAAAAATACATTTAAAATATTTTTAATTTTCTATGATAGTAAAGTTAGTTGAAATGATTTAATGCATTTTTAACTTTTTAAATTCATGGAATGTCATTTAAAAATAAAGTACCTTCATTTTTATGTTAAAGAAAAGTTGGAAAAAAAATATTATCAAAAGTATATAAAAATATTAAAATAAAAAAGAATTGAAGAAAGGGTAATTGTGTTTTTAAAAAAATACATTTAAAATATTTTTAATTTTCTATGATTGTAAAGTTAGTTGAAATGATTTAATGTATTTTTAACAAGTACACTAAAGGCACTTGTTAAAAAAATCTAAAAAAAAAAAAGCATATTGATACTACTTCATTGATAGTATCATTATGGGAAATTCAAATATACACAACACACCCCTTTAAAAGGTGTACTATATGCACTTATAATTATGTCATTTTATTCTTTAGTTATTATGAATTTTTTTCTTTAGTTATGACATTATTTTAATCATCACTCATGAGATTTTTAATTATACCTCATATTATGTTTAGTTATCATTTTTTTTTTTTAGTTATGACTCAGAAAAGTATGAAGTTATGTAATTTTCTTCTTTAGTTATAAAGTGCACATGATACACTCTTTGAAAAATATGTACATAGTGTTTCCCCATCATTATAGTTCCACCGGGTTGTTTTGAATGCACTACAAAAGTGTACATTTTTATATTTTTCGAGTCACATCATTTCTCTTTTTCTATATAACTTTTCGTAAAAAATCAAAAAATGCACATATTTAGATTATTCCAAACAACACATGATACTTCTTGTCAACAAATCATTTTTTATTAAATAATTATTGAATGTTCTTGGAGTATAACCACGTGGTGCTCTAAGAGTGTCGTAATTGGTAGAGAAGATGAAGTCCATAATTTTTTTACAACATGATCTCGAGGTGAAGTCCATGATAGCATCATCTCGGTAGAGAATGTGAAATCCATATGATTTGTTGACAACATGATTTTGAGATGAAGTCCATGATTTGTTGACAACATGATCTCGATATTCTATTAATTACAATACTTCTGAAACACTACGTGATCGTATTCTATGATCACCCAATAATTTTTCATAAAGAGAGCAGGAACATCAGCGGCCTACATAGATCATTCGTACATGATCTGGATATTCTTCAAATTCCATCCCTCATACTAACATTAAAAATAATAATAATAAATATAGTAATATTATAAATTCAAATTTAATTATTTAAAAATTATTTAAAATTATAATCTTATGATTTAGATTTATTTTTCACATAAAACTTACATTACACTACACAAATTTAATTTCAGCCATACATCACCATTCGAAATAAATTTTGAATAAATAAAAATAAATTCATAGAGTTACTGCAATAAATGACTCAATGCAATAGGAATATCACACTATGGTTAATAAGTGAAAATGACATAATAGTGGAGATTCATTATCTTTATAAGTATGTAATTTTATTAATGGTTAGTAATAACACATGTCATTACTACTGAATTTTTCCTTGACAAATGAGGGATTTGGTCAAAATTCTGTTTTATAGATGAAATGCAGACTTTTATTTCATTTATAAAATTTGTGCACATCATAAAAAAACAAAACCATTGATTTATAATTACCATCTCATTTTAAATTATAAAACCTTTTTTTATTTTATTTTTTTTAATTAACTACCATATGGCAAAGTAGAATGTAGTTGGCTCTTAGGGTAGGGTGAGTGCACTACAACATTTTTTTAGTTTAGTGACATTTGAAAGTGCTACAAAACTATTATTTTAATGACATTTTTTAGTCTTGTGGCATTTTGAACAAGTGCGATTTATATCCATGCCACGGTAGATACTTGTAAGTGTCACTACACCATCATGGCTAAAAACTTTCAATGACATTTTGATGTCATGATAGATACTATTTGTGACACTATTAAGCACTATTAAAAAAAGAGTTTGTGGCACTTTAGTGACACTTGTAAGTGCCATTACACAATCATTGCTCAAAACTTGCAATGACACTTTAATGTCATGGTAAACACTATTCGTGACACTATCAAATGCTATTAAAGAAGACTTGCAATCTAAAAAATGTCATGGTATGAATTTTTAATGACACTTATTGTGCCACAATTGATATTTATAACAACTTCATAAATGCCACTAAATCCAATTCATTTGTGCTATTAAATGGATATAAGTGCCATTGCAACTTATTTTAGTAACACTTTGCAAAGCTACTATCACTACTACAAAATGCCACTTCTATGTTCTTTTCATTGACACTTTTAAAAGTTACAACTAAGCATGTGTAAATGCCTGTAAAAATTGAATCGATTTTATAAATAATTGAATATTAATTGCGACATCCCATATTAATTTGACATCCATTCATCCTATAATATTTTCATAATAATAAATAAATATTACCACCATAGGATCATCACATCAAAAACAAAAATAAAAATTCAAACCCCAATCAATTATTTATTATTGAAATATAAAATTATTTATATTGCAATAAAAATCCCTTACCAAAATTATAAAATATTCTACCACACTAACAAAGTTAAAGCAAAAAAAATTTAAAAGAAAATTATTCCAACCATAAGTTCTGAAAAGTCATAGTGATATCCATCTTTCGGAGAGACAAATTATCAAAATAAAATTAGTTTCCAAATTTTCACTTGTATAAATATTCTCGGCTAGCATTCATAACTTGCGAAATCTGCATCCAAAAGATAAACATAATTGGTTCACCACACTACAACAAATTATATAAAAGTAGCCACCGTAAGTCTTTAGACCATATCAAACAATTACTTAAAAAATCAATAACAGCCAAAGGCACCAATCAACAACAATCAAAACCATGCCCATTATCAATATCAAGATCCCCTAACCTCAACAATGAAAATCGAACGTAATTGTGAAAAATGACAATCAACTAATTACTTTCAAGCAATATTTTGAGAGAATCAGAAAGAGTCCATGCGGTAATCAATGGTGGGGAGATGTCTTGTTGAAGCTTCACAAGAACATAAAAATAAAAAAATTTAAAAAAGCACAAGCTTCGTCATGTCATGATTTTGACTATATTGCACATTTTGTCTAGATTTAAAAAATGGAATTTAGGTCCGCAATATTCATTCCTTGGTTAATTGTAAGACAAGTTTTGCATGCTATTCTAAAATAAAGCTAGAAGTAATGTGATATATATGATTAGCTCGTAGTGGGTACCTGAGTAAGAGAGGTATCTTGTATCGATGATATGGACCATACTTGATGTCAAACTGCCATGTCAAGAGGACTAGAAGTTGTTGTAACCTAACCAAATTTAAACTAATTAATTTTACAAACAGACACACATAGATATATGTATGTATATATATGTGTAGGAAAACATTAATAACTTACAAATTCTATTAAAAAAATTACCTGGTTAGATGTGTTTGTCAAGTTATTCGGAGCATGCTCAACATGGGAACCTTTGGACCTTAGCTCCGAATTTTCAGCTTCCATAGCATAAATCTGTGGCACCTGGTTCCATAAAGACCACAAGCTTGCCAACAACAAAGCTTTCAGGCTTTTTTCTCCAGGTTCTTGAATTTGTAACCAGACCACCACTCTATCAATTCACTAAGAGATCCTGGCATCACCCACTTAATTCACCACCAATCCATAACTTAGACCACATTCTTATAATGGCTACCGAATTATTAACTTACAACTTTCTAAAGCAATTTTCATTATTACTAAGGGGACTTCAAAGATGAGCTTTGTTCAAATGCAATAAACAGGGCTTGCAGTTATAGCTCAAAACAAAATATTTAAACAAAACAATATCATGAAACACTACGAATTAATGCTCATGGCTGCTCAATCTCAGTAGCCCCTACTAAAACGAAGCACTTTTAAACAACAAATAGGAAGAAACAATACAAGAGGATTGAAACAATAAATAAATATTACCAATCACACAAATAAAATTATATTATATTATAAGTGGGGTAGGAAAGAGAAAATCAGCAAATGAGATTACACAGATTAAACACCATTAAAAATAAAAATAAAAAAGTCACCTTGGCAACTTCTAAAAAAAGTGTTATATTTGTGTGTGTGTATGAGTGAGAGAGAGAGCCCTGACATTACATTCAACAACTGGGCGGCTGCCACTTGTACATTCACCATCTCATCCTGTCATTACAAAAAAAAAAAAAAAAAAAAAAAAAAAAAAAAAAAAAAAAAAGTGGTTCAACAAAAATAAGTCATAAAATATCAATTTTGTCCTAACAATTTTTCATGCTCTACCCTCTCTCTTCTACTTTCCATCATAACCACTTTTCTCATCCTCTTCATCTCTCTCAGACTTCAACCATTCCACCAACACATGAACCCTTAATATTTTTATTTCCAGCTGTTAAAACTCTTGAACAGTTTGAACAAAAAATGATTTTTCCACAAAACAAAACCTCTTGGACTGTTCTATATATACAGAGTTATATATAATAGAAAACAAGAGAAGTATTTATCCATTAAACACAAATTTATATAAGCATGGGATTCAAAATTCCCCATATAGACAAATTTATATACCCTAGGAAAGTACTGCCAAACATTTTATTCATGATAAACAGAATCAAAATAAACCAAAAACAGAAAGAAAGAGACCAGATGTAATAGAGTGACTAAGAAAATGAGTCAGTTTTGATAAGAGAGGCGGAACATATCTAATATAGTGATTGTACAAAGTAAGGCAATAAATTAAGCTTGTGGCGAGTAGTAGCTCCAAAAACTTGTTCCACTTCTCTTTATGGAGCCCAAATACATGAAAGCCTACATGTGAAACAAAGCGAGTAAATGTAAAAAAATTCTCCATAACTGAATGACAATTAAACTAATAATATCATGCTATAATTTAAAATTTCAACCAGCATACAAACAAAACTAAGGAATAAGGGAAAAAACCCAAAATAAATAAATAATTTAAAAAAAAGAAAAATAAAAGTTTCGAAAGTATCCAAATTCCAGAGTATAAACTCAAAGAACATATATAATTAAAGTTTGACGCAAATTTTTATTGAGATGAAACCAATACATATGCAAAGAGCCAATCAATCATCAATGGTGGCAAAGCTATCTAACCTAGCTAGGAGGATACCCAGAGATTTATAATTGTAGCATTTTGTTGAACAGGCAGAGCCAAAAACCCGAAGGGTGTCGTAAGGGGGACTGGTGCCATGTAAACGCTCATATGGAGTGTGATTATGAATGACCGGTGTAGGGATACAATTGATAGTGTAAGCAGCAGTGAGAGCGGCTTCTCCCCAAAAATTTTCTGGACAAGAGGAAGAGAGAAGGAGGGCTCGAGTAGTGTCAAGTAGATGCCGATGTTTTCGTTCAGCACGGCCATTTTGTTGGGACGTACCTGGACAGGAACGATGAGGGTGAGTACCATGACTCTTAAGGAAGGAAAGAAAGTCAAAATCTTTATATTCCATGGCATTGTCGGAGCGAAAAATCTTGATAGTTTTAGAAAATTGGGTTTTAACCATTGCAGCAAAATTGTAATAAATTTGTTTGAGTTCAGAGCGATTTTTCATAAGAAACAACCATGTAAAACGAGAAAAATCATCTATAAAAACAACAAAATAACGTGCGCCTCCCATAGTAGGAGTAGGAGAGGGTCCCCAAATATCAGAATGAATGAGATCAAAGGGCGCAAGAGAAACAGAATCACTTTTATTAAACGACAAAGCAGGTTGTTTTGCAAGTTGACAGGACACACAATTGAAAGCATCAGAACTTACAGTACCCAAATGACCACTAGAAATTAAAGACTTCAAACGACCAACAGAAAGATGGCCCAAACGATAGTGCCAAAGCTGAAAATGAGATAAAGGAGGAGCAGTGGTAGTAGTGGTAGGAGCAGTGGTAGTAGTGGTAGGAGCTGTGATCTGAGAGGAATCTGGAACATGAAGATGGATAAGTTCGTAGAGACGTCCATGCTTACGGCCTATCCCAAGAGTTTGCCCCGTCCGAGGGTCCTGCACCAAACAACCAGTACGGGAAAAGGTAACAGTTAGACACTCGTGGTACTGTCCATCTCCATCCAATCTCCTCTACTGATCAACCTGCTGATATCTTCACCAAAGCTCATTCTCCTGGTCGCTTCATTGAACTTGTCTCCAAACTCCAGTTGGTTGATGTTTGCCCTCCTTGAGTTTGCGGGGAGCTGTTAACATATTAATATATTAATATCATTATTAATATAATAGTATAGTTTGTATCTGATAGAAATAATATATTAATATAATCTGCTCTATAGTATAGTATGTATATAATAGGTATATAATCACTTTCGGCTGCTTTCGGCCGATCCCTCCTTTCGGCTACTTTTCCTTATTTTAGTGAAACACATCATAATGATGTTTGTAATCCAGCTCCTATATTATGGAGCCTCGAATTGGTTTCTGATTACAGAATGAATAACAGATAATTCTCTTTCAATATCACTCTCTCAACTCTCTTTCAACTTATTTCACACACATAAACAAATTAACATACACTTCAAATGAAAAGAAAATCTCAAAATGTTATTCAAGCCCATAAATCAAAAACCATAAATCATTCTGGAGTCTATCTCAGGACTGTAAGAAAATGGAAAAACAAAAAACACATGGGAGAGAGTGGTGGAGAAAGAAACACAGAGCGTGCATGAAAGGGGAAATATGATTCCAAGCAAGTAGGATGTCTGTTTTTTAAAATGAGTTGCTTACAAAATTATACCTCGAAAATTACCCCAAGAGTGAGGTAGCATTTTTTGTCTGCAATAATGCTACATATGCAGAAAAATTACCCACAATCACACTGGAAATTATATGTCAGTTGACTATATTAATTGTATATAATTTGATGTTTACACAAATCATTTTCATTGGAAATTCACAATGGGCACCACCAATGGATCAAGATTTACACCAGCTACTACCAGCCTACCATGACAGTGAAATGGGAAACTAGAGTGAATCTGGGAAAATGGGGAAATCTTGAATCTGGCCAAAAAAAAACCCCAATAAATTAAACGTTCCTTCAATCATTTTATTTCAATCATTGGTTCATTGATTTCACATAAATCAAAACCCTACACCACAAAAAAGCAAACCCTAGATCTAGAGTGAAATGGGGAAATAGAAAAAGGGAGACATACAGAAAAACAGAGACCGCGAGGGAGAAAGATAGGGAGAGGAAAAGAAAAACCTCAATGTTGAAGCGATGCGATGCCAGATGAGCGAGCGGCGGTAGCGATGTGCGACTGTGGAAGATCGACGGTGAGCGATGGTGGAAGATCGATGATGATCCGTGAGAGAGAGAGAGGGAGAGCATGAGTCTCTGGTCTTGTTTTTGCTTGGATGCAGAGACTAATATAAACAACTACAAAAAAATAATAATAAAATAAAACATTAGTGAATTGCCTCCATATTTGAAAAAGTTTCCACCAAAAAAATTGATATCATTGCTGACCAATCTCAATTTTCGTCGCCTATTATATCACTTTTGGCAACAAAAGGTATTTTGGTCACTGAAAATAAATATCTACCGACCAATTTTTTGGTCACCAAAGATAAAAAATAAAATTAATTTTTTTATTTAGTGAAAAAATTAATTTTATAGGCAAATATTACTATACAGCGACTAAAAGTATTATGGTTACCCAAAATAAATATTTGCCGACCAAACCTTTGGTCGCTAAAGATTAATAGCAAACAATATGCTAGTTATACTAAATTTATTTAGTAGGCAAAAACTGGTATACCACGACTAAAACAAGCTTTAGTAGCCTAAAAGATGAACTAATGCTGACCAAAAAAAAAATTTAGTCGCCTATTGTGGCATATTTAGCAACTAAATTTTTTTTAGTCGCCAATTAATAATATACTGTAACTAAAAAAATTTAGTAGCTAAAACCTAAAACAATGCCGACCAATTTTATTTTTAGTCGCCTATTAAACAACTTTTGGCTACTAAATTCCTTTTATGTCATTTTAGTCTTTGTAATTTCAAGTTAATCGATTTTAACCTTGAATTTTTTATTGTCTCAAATTGGTCCAATTGATAGCATTTTTTTTTTTTTTTAATTACAAATGCAACATGTCATCGTTTTAGGACTTAACCTTAACGAAATACTTGACCAATTTAGTGACTTCACCTTAACCAATCCAATGAAAATTTTCTATGAAAGACCATAAAGATGTTGTTTATTCGACTAAATTGACGTAAAATCTAAAATTAAGTGTCAAAATTGAATCAATTAAAACTATATGGAACAACAAAATGTAAGTATTATTGATGTAATTTACTCAATAATTATAAGCAATTGAAGTAAATTGAGATAAATCCGTAAATTCAGAGTCAAAATCGAATTAATTGAAACTGCAGGGACTAAAATTCAAGAAACTTTATCATTGTATAGGAGAGCAATTTGAAATTTAATTTTTCCTATTAAGCCATATAAAGTCGTTGATCAATTTTGTACATGTGGCAAGTACAGTTAAAAAAACATTTTGTATTGAGTTTAATTTATTTGTTTTTATTTATTTTGTACATTTTAAAAATTTTGAAAATATATTGCCATTTTTTGTTTTTTCAAAAAATGTCATTAGATAGCTTGGAAAGTTTTTGGCTTAGTGGCATTTCTCAAAATGCTATAAAATATTTGTTTAAGACACTTTTCACCTAATGCCATAAAAAGTAACTTGCACCTATTTAGTTTAGTGACATTTTTTTTATAAAATGCCGTTGCTACTAAAGTTTAGTGGCATCTGTTGATAAATGTCACTATAACAATTTTTTGTGTCATTCTTTTATAAAATGCCATAAAATTGATGTGACATTTCTTTATTGAAATGCCACTAGTACCTTATATGTTTGTAGTTCGGTGGCATTTTTCTAAAATGAGTCATCAAATATTATTTTTGTGACATTTTCTAAGAACATGCCACTATACCACTAGTGTAGTGCCACTAAAGTGTGTTTTTGTTGTAGTATTGTGACACTTGTTTATTGAAATGTCACTAGAGCTTTTTATGTTTATCGTTTTGTGATATTTTTCAAAAGCGTGCCACTAAATATTTTTTTATGGCATTTTCTAAACAGATGTCACTAGTATAGTATCCCTAAAGTGTTTTTGGATTTGAGATTCGAATTGATAGATCAATAGTGATATTTTTAAGTTATAATTTAATTTTACTAACATATCAACATTCTATCATTCGCAAAAAAAAAAAATAATAATAATAATAATAATAACATAAAAAAAAAAAGTGAATCTTCCTTATTATTAATCATAAATGGAGATTTTCATGCTAATCATGACGAGAGAGAGAGAGAGAGAGAGAGAGAGAGAGAGATGCTTGGGCTGAAAGGAGGCGGTAACATGCCAAACCATACCCAAGTTGGGCCAAAAAAACCATAATATTCCAATATTTCTGTTCTTTGAGGCTTTAAAGTGACATACCATGCCATGCCAAGCCAAATTCCAAATTGATTTGAACGAGTTTCAGCCTTCTAAAACCCATATGATTATTTATTTATTTATTTTGTATTTTTATTTTTTTGTATTTCATGTGGGTTATACACATGCCCACCATGTGCTACCTAGCCTGCCATAACGGAGGGCGTAGATTCTTTATTATCATTGGCATTGGCGACAAATGATTTGCTTGCACTTGGTCGAAAACATTCCATAAAACTCTAATTATTGATCAGTCTTTTAACTTTATCTTAACAATGTAGATTCGCAAAGATCCAGTGGAATTGGAAGCTTTGCGCCGGAAAATAATAACAAACATTCAAAAGCCAGCTAGGATAAGAATATAACACTTGTTGACTCAAATTCTCTACCCAAGAAATAGAAACTTCACTTGAAGACTTGAAAACACACTTCCAAGACTGTACTTCATTTCTTCAATGTAAAAGAAATTTAAGTGAACATATTTAAGAGCACCGAGCGATGAACTTGAAAGTACTTATGATAAATTCACTACATTACCAACTGATATACTTACCACAACTGAAGATTGTTACTTAATTCTAACTAATAATACAGTGTTATTAAACACCACTTAAACAAAGACCCAGCTAGCTTACATTTACTCATCTTTGATCTTTTTGAGGAACTTAAGTACATGGAGCATTGTTGGCCGATTAGCAGGACTATCGGAGAGGCATATTGCAGCAATCTGCAAAGTTTGAAGCATCATCTGCTTTGAATCAGCATTCAGTACCGTTTGATCAAGAACATCAACAGCCTGCCCCTTCTTCATCTTCTGAAATACCCAACCCACCAAATTCCCGCCTTCAATCTCTTTGAATTCAGGCCCTGTTGGCTCTTTCCCCGTCACCAATTCAACCAAAATTACACCAAAACTATAAACATCCCCTTTTGTGGTGGACCTCCAACTCCGCCCATACTCCGGTGGAATGTACCCAAATGTACCAGCAATATCAGTACTCACATGAGTCTCACAAGCACTGATCAGTCTCGCCAAACCAAAGTCTGCAACTTTTGGCTCAAACTCTTCATTGAGTAAAATGTTGCTGGCTTTAATGTCACGGTGAATTATGTGGGGGATGAACCCATGATGAAGGAAAGCAAGCCCTCGTGCAGCACCAGTCGCAATCTTGAAACGTTTGCTCCAATCCAGGACTTTGAGAGCACCAGTTCTGTTCCTCAGCCAAAGATCTAAGCTCCCATTTACCATATATTCATAAACAAGGAGCTTCTCATCACCAAAAGAGCAGTACCCGAGAAGTGGAACCAGATTTGGGTGCTTGACCTTGCCTAAAGTTTCTATTTCTGCAAAGAATTCACGATGACCCTGTGTCTTGGATTGGTTTAGCTTCTTAACAGCTACTGATTTCCCACCAGGCAATGTCGCTTTGTAAACGGTTCCAAAGCCTCCATCTCCAATTACATTAGTCTTGCAGAAGTTGTTGGTGGCTTCAAGAATATCGACTAAAGTCAGCTTAAGAAGCGGTTGCTCGAACATGGCTATGTTGATGCTTAGGGGCTCCTTTGATCTGATGCTACTCAGGAAATAGAGATTTTGATCGATAGAACTGTTCAGTTTGCTTTCATCAGTGTTCTCAGGATCACTTCGCCGTCTGCTTTTACTAATCCATATGCGTAAAACAATAGCTATTGACAGTGTCATCAAGATAGTTCCTATCACAATTGAAGCCAGTCCCCAAAGATTTAACAATGGCCTTCTTCTGTCCAAGCTCTTCAAAGGGCATTCTAAACCCAAAATTCTCCCACAAAGATCTTTGTTTCCAGCAAGTGAAATCTTTGAAAGGTTTTGGCAAATTCCATTCTTGGGTATGGGTCCTTCCAATCCATTTTCCGCCAAATTCAGGGAAACCAAATTTACAAGGCTGCAAATTTTCTCAGGAATCTGTCCAGAGAGTCTGTTCACCGAAACATCTAAATATTCAAGCTGCATAAGGTTTCCAAGCTCGGGAGGAATCTCTCCTGTAAACATGTTTCCATGAAGATCCAAAGATGTCAAGTATGACATGTTGCCCAAAGATTTTGGAATATTTCCATTGAAGAAATTATTACTCAAATTGGCTGCTTCAATCCTCCACACAGCGGAATTAGAAAAGAGCTGATCTATATGACCAGAAAGGCTGTTTTGTTGAACATTCAAACCGACAAGGTTCACCATCCTGGAAAGAGTTGATGGAAGCTCACCATTAAGCACATTAGAGCTCAAATCTAAGTGGGTAAGACCCTTCAAGTTCCCAAAGCTAGAAGGAATTGTACCAGATAGCTTATTACCAGTCAAATTCAGCTTCACCAAACCAATCAATTGACCTAAGCTTTCGGGTATGATGCCTGTTAACTGGTTATTCCCCAAATACAAGCCTTGTAGGTTAATTGAATTTCCAAACTCTGTTGGAACACCACCCGATAGAAAATTTCCAGAAAGATCTAAGGTTGTGAGATTGGTTAAACGAGCAAGTGATGCCGGAATTTCGCCAGATAACCTGTTGTTGTTGATCAGAAGATCCACAACCACGATACAGCCTCCCAAGTCGTTTGGTATTGAACCAGACAAGCTGTTGTATGAAAGATCAAAGACTCCATGGTGCTGAACAAAGCTAGAGTCAGGGATGTTAACTTGGTGAAAATACTTGGATGGTTTGGAGGGAATCGACCCAGATAGGTTATTGTGAGAAAGAACCAAGCACTGTAATTGGGCAAGATCAGCTAGCTTATCCGGAATGGAACCGTTGAGCAGGTTGTTTCCAAGGTCCAATGTGGTTAGTGCAATGCAGTTTCCAAGCTCAACTGGAATAGTTCCTTCAAGGAAATTGGAATTCAAATTCAGGACAGAAAGTGTTGTAAGATTTCCAATCTCCCCAGGAATTGTGCCATCCAACTGATTGTTACCAAGGACAAGCCTTTCCAATGATACAGCACTACCAATCTCCACAGGCAGAGTACCCTCTAACAGATTATATGCAGCCGAGAACTCCATCAAATTCATGGAATTCCAAATACTCACAGGAATCGAACCCGTGAAATTGTTTGAATCAATGTCAAGCACCATCAGAGGAAGCTCTGAAAAGTACTCAGGGATCGAACCAACAATTTGGTTGTCCACCAAAACCAACTGGGTAAGATTGCTACATTTCTCAAACGTGTCCTCAATAGTCCCCGTGAGGAAATTGCGGTCAAGATCAACCTCCATCAGTGACACTGCGTTGCAAAGCTCGTTCGGTATTGGACCCATCAACAGATTGTTGCTGAGACTAATGTGATTCAGCATTGAACAATTCCCAATCTCAGGAGGTATTTTCCCGGAAAATCGATTGTTAGAAAGCAAAAGTGACTCTATCTGGTCCCATTTTCCGAGCCAATCTGGCAATGGCCCAGAAAGCAGGTTCATTTCAGCCGAGAAAGACACCATGGGTAGCTCTGCAAGCTCTTCCGGTAGAGACCCAGAAAGCGAGTTGAATGACAGCATCAGAGTCTTGAGATTACGACAGTTTCCGAGCTCAGCCGGTATCGAACCGTTGAGCTCGGCATAAACCAGGTTCAGTATAGTTAGATTCTGCAACTTACCAATAGATTTTGGGATTGAACACTTCAATGGGTTGTAGGAAAGATCGAGTTTGCCAAGTGATTTGAGCTCTGAAATGGTCTCCGGCAATGGACCTCTGATTGAGCAAGCAGGGGAGAAGAAGTTTTGGAGGCTCGAAAGTTCACCGATTTCCGGCGGCAATACACCGGAAAATTGATTGACTCCAATGTAAAGATCAGTCAGGTTCTTCAGCTTTCCAATCTCCGGCGGAATATTGCCGGAAAGAGAGTTGTTTGAGACGTCCAATGAAATTAAAGATTGAAGCTTACTAAAGAGAGAAGGAGAGAGAGAACCTGAGAGTAGATTGTTACCCAGGCCTAGAAACTGGAGGAGGGTCAGATATCCAATCTGGGTCGGAACATTTCCGGTGAGGCCGTTGCCGGAGAGGTCGAGTGTCCGTAACAGAAGCAGATTTCCGAGCTCCGGCGGGATTTGTCCGGAAAAAAAGTTGGGTCCGAGTTTGAGGGTTTCCAGCTGATTCAACTCACCGAGTTGGACAGGCAACTCACCGGAAAAGTGATTGTCACCCAAGTCCAAGTACTTTAACCGTGGTCGGAGAGAAAGGGTTTTGGGGGAAAGTTGGAGTTGGCCGTAGAGAAGGTTAGAAGAGAGGTCGAGGGAAATGAGGGTGGAAAGAGAGAAGAGGGAGGGAGAGAGAGGGCCTTTGAGTGAGTAAGTGGAGAGTAGAAGTGAGGTGACTCGGCCATTGAAACAGAGGACACCGTCCCAGTGACAGTGATCAGGGGTTGTAAGGGGGTTCCATGAAGAGAGGAGGTGTGGGTTGTCAAGAGACTTCTTGAAGGAAAGCAAGAGCTGTTGCTGTTGCTGTTCTACACTTTCCTCTTCTGTTCTAATGGCGATGACATTATTACAGACCAAAACCAAACAGAGTTGAAATACAATGAGAACGAAGCAGACAAGCCTCCTCAACAACGCCATGAGATGAGCCTACTTTTCAGCTTCAGAGAAAGCCAGGAGTTGGGGTTATAAATGGATTCTCTGAGTAGTGTCCTCTTCAAACCCACTCATTTGATAGAGAGAGAGAGAGAGAGAGAGAAAAAAATTTGTTGGGAAAATGCGGCCATGGAGTATAGTACAGAATCCGAAACATTTTAAGTTTCTTGTGTAAGCTTGAACGCCATATAGTTTCGGAGAAAGAAAATGTAATACCTACAGTCAAACAAAATTAAATGAATTTCAAAAAGCACGTCCAAAAATATATATATAAACGTTGTTTTGATTGAAATGTACACTGCGCTATTGTTACAGGATTAATTTTTGTTTCAAAATTTCAGCCTGCAATCACATTAAGTTGGACACTTAGTCTCAGTCAAGTATGAATACACACATACACAAAGTGCTATAACAAGTAAGAGAATAGACAACAAGAGATTACAGGAAAAATCCCAACCTTTATTAATTGCACCAACAATACAAAGGATGCCTATGGAAACTCTTACCAACACTTAGTTAATTTTCGAGTTCCATAGATATGCCTAAATAGGCTTACAATCAGTTACAAACTTTACAACCAGCATTATAAGGAAAGCATGCCAAGTGGCATGGCAGTTGACACCCCCAACTGTCTTGGGACTTAGGATCATTTCTGGGACATAACTGCTGCTAACCCCTTACCTTGATTCTAGATGTCCAGACTTGCCTTGTCTTTTGCTCAACATGGGTAACTGCTGCCAGACAAGCATAACTGTTTTGAATTGTCCATGTTGTTTGCCTTCTCAGTCAGCCACGAATTTGGTTGTCTTGGCCCCCAGACCAAGTTTTGCCTACTGAATGCTTTGAAACCCCAAGTATGCTGCAGCCCACATTCGGGTCATGTTAATGCCTTGCATTTGTGCCACTGCTGCCCATACTTTGGCCAAGGGTTTTGTGCTACTGCCTCAGCACTTTGTCAATGATTCACCTTGCTGTTTTAGCATGCCACCATCATGTTGTGGTCTTGGTTGGACATTGGTGCAAGATGCCGCCAATGCCAACCATGCAGCCTTCAAGTAAAAGGTGCTAACAAACCACCCCCACCAGAAGAAGCTAACGTCCTCGTTGGTAGGGTCTTCAAGTACTCCTGGACTTGTTTTTCAAATTGCCACAATGTTACATCATTTTCCCAACTTGCATCTGATTCGGAGGAACCCTTCCACTTTACTAAGTAATGGGTCCTTCGATTCTTTTTGCTTTGACCCTCGGTCTTGTGATCAAGAATTTGTTCCACCTCCTTGTCAAATTGTTTTCTGATCATCGAGGGTGCTCTCCGAGCTTGTTTCCTTGTCAAGTTTGTTTGATCCTCATGAAATGGTTTCAAAAAACTGACATGGAAAGTTGGGTGGATTTTCAACCGATCAGGAAGCACTAGCCTGTATGCAACATTGCCCACGCGTTTTAAGACTTCAAAGGGGCCATCATATTTTGGAATTAAGCCACGGTGCACTGTCTTACTGCTTATCTTCTTCCAGATCTGTGGAGTAAGCTTCAGTAGCATTTTGTCACCCACTTTGAACTCTAAGGGCATGTTTGATTCACAATACTAATAGTGAGGTATTAATAATCTTATCAAATTAGTGTGGTATTAACTATCTCACCCCTACCCCATTACTAATTATCCTACAAATTTGTTGGATTAATTATCCATTGGATTAATAGTCCTAAACCAAATGTCAAAACAAACATAGGATGGTTGGGCCCACGGATTAATAATCCTAATCCCATACTTTAATCCTTCCAATCAAACATGCCCTAAGGGTCTTCGCCTTTTGTCAGCATACTTCTTCATTCGCTTGCTTGCTTTGGCCAAACTGTCTTGTGCTTCTTCCAGCAATTCTTGTTTGGTCCTTGCAAAGCGGTATGCTGCTGGACATCTACCACCAGAGCCTGTTTTAGCCACTTCGTGAGGAGTTAGGGGTTGCTGCCCCGTGGCCAATTCAAACGGGCTCATCCCGATTGCAGATGATCTATGCAGATTGTAGCAAAACTGTGCGCTGTCCAACAATTCGACCCAATTCTTTTGACTTGCGGTCACGTAATGTCAGAGATACTCCTCTAGCAATCCATTCATCCTCTCAGTCTGATCATCCGTCTGAGGGTGATTTGCTGTGGAGAACTTTAATTCAGAACCCAGCAAATTAAAGAGCACAGTCCAAAACCTTCCCGTAAACCAGGTATCCCTGTCGTTTATTATGTCCTCAGGCAAGCCAAAGTATTTTACAACATACTTATGAAACAAATCAGCAGCAACATCTGTGGGACAAGCATGAGAAGCAGGGATAAAAACAGCATACTTAGAGAAACGGTCAACAATTACCATGATGGAGCGCATCCCATTGACTTTGGGAAATCCGGAGATAAAGTCCATGGATATGGAAACCCAAGGCTTCTCAGGGACAGCTAGTGGTTGTAATAACCCAGCTGCCTTCTTTCTTTCGGTCTTGTCCAATTGGCACACCACGCATGTTTTGACATAAGCCTCTACGTCTTCTTCCATTTTTGGCCAAACATATGAACGCGACAAAAGAGCCATCATGCGTTGTTGCCCCGGATGACCAGCCCACTGCAGGTCATGTGTTTCTCTAAGAAGTTCCATTTGTAGTCCCCCAACACTTGGGACATATAGCCTATCTCCTTTGCCATGGAGAAGACCATTTTCAAGCCAATACCGACGAGCAATTCCATCATTTACTTGTTGTACCAACCGTTGATATTCTGAGTCAATGGCAGCACTATCCCTGATCCTTTCCAGCAATTGTGATTCAATGTTGGAGATAGCAGCCACATATTCAATTATCTCTTTCCAGCTTAAGGCATCAGCGACTAGGTTATGTCGTCCAGGCTTGTGTCGCCATTCAAAGTCATACTCTTCAAGGAATTCTTGCCAACGGGCCTGCCTTGGAGACAACTTTTTCTGAGTTTTGAAGAATTTATTAGCCACATTATTAGTAAGAACCAAAAACTTTGATCCCAACAGATAGACCCTCCATGTGAGTAGGCAATGCACAATTGCCGTCATTTCCTTTTCATGGGCTGAATAATTCTTCTTAGCAGCGTTTAGTTTCCTGTTTTCAAAGGCCACTGGGTGTCCTTCCTGCACCAGTACTCCTCCAAGTGCTTTGTCTGAGGCATCCGTGTGTACTTCGAAAGGCAACTCGAAACTAGGCAGTCGCAAGACCGGTTCACTTGCCACTGCACTTTTCAGTTTGTCAAAGGCCACTTGACAATTAATGGACCAATGCCATTTGTGGTCTTTCTTCAGCAAATTAGTGAGGGGAGCGGCCTTTTTTGAATATCCCTTGATGAATTTCCGATAGTAGTTTGCCAAGCCTAAGAAGGATCGCAACTCCGCAACATTGTTGGGTGAAGACCATTCCATGATAGCCTGTACCTTCCTTCCATCCATTTTGATATGGCCTTGGCAAATGATATGCCCAAGAAACTTAATTTCTCGCTGGGCAAACTCACATTTTTCCTTCTTGACATACAACTGGTGTTCTTGTAACCGAGTGAACACCATCCGAAGGTGGGACAAGTGATCCTCTAGGGACTCACTATATATTACAATATCATCCAAATAAACAACAACAAACTGATCAACATAGTCATTGAACACATCATTCATAAGATTACAGAATGTAGCCGGGGCATTAGTTAATCGAAACGGCATTACAAGGAACTCAAAAGACCCATACCTCGTAACACATGTGGTCTTTGACTTATCTCCTTCAGCCACTCGGACTTGCCAATAGCCAGCACGTAAATCCAATTTTGTGAAGTAAGTGGCTTTGCACAATGAATCAAATAGGTCTGCCACCAAAGGGACTGGATACTTGTTCTTTATCGTCACTTTGTTGAGAGCCCGGTAATCCACACACATGCGCAAACTTCCATCTTGCTTCTTTTTGAAAAAGCACTGGGGCACCGAAAGGGGCTTTGGATGGCTAAACCAGTCCAGCATCCAATAAATCCGTCAATTGCCTTCGCAACTCCGTAAGTTCCTGTCATGACCCGAACCCGCCCCTATGGGTTAAGGACATAACCAACCAGTAATCCTGAGATTATCTACGGCGTCAAACCAAAACAGACATAACTCATCAGAGTAAAGGGGCCAAACGAAAGCAAAATTTAAAACTTTGTCCATAGAGCCGTGCTTATATGCACATCAAAACAAACCATACTCATATACATTAATAACCCACATCAAAAGTACGGTGCCATAAAATTCTTTACAGACAGGATCATCCAAACTAAGTCAACCCATAACAGGCTATATACAAATATGCACAAAGCCCTTGCCAACGTGACAAAATACAATACATAACAAAATGGCAAGGTTGGGTCTTATGCGTGAGACACAAGGGCTGACTCTCCAAAACCTTTGTTGTTCCTAACGGACTTCACTGGGGCTGGGTTTGGGTTTGGACCTCCCTTGGCTCACTTACAAACACATGAATGAGCGTGAGCGATAGCCCAGTGAATAATATCAAATACAGAAGTTGCATAAACAATATGTAGAACAACATGCTCCAAACGGCCTTGGGCCCAATTCATATTTCTACTTAACATATATACACTTATACAAAATTTTGATCAAGCGACTGTAGTTCCCAACATACTGGCCTTTGGCCCATTCAGATTTCCATTCTTGTCAAAACGACCTTCGGCCCATTCATTTCTGTCAAAACGGCCTTCGGCCCACTCATTTATGTCAAAATGGCCTTCGGCCCATAAATTTCTGTCAAAACGGCCTTCGGTCCATATATTCGTGTCAAAACGGCCTTCGGCCCACTCATTCGTGTCAAAACAGCCTTCGGCCCACTCATTCGTGTCAAAATAGCCTTCGGCCCATACATTTCTGTCAAAACGACCTTCGGTCCGTTCATTTGTGTCAAAACGACATTCGATCCATTTATTTATATCATGTCAGACTTGTGTCCACAATCCCAATTAGCAACTCATAAAGCTTATAAGAGAATAAACAATTGGACATTGACAAGCTTTCAAATATCGATATTACTCACAGTGATCGGCTTGTGGATTTGCCCTAGAGCTTGACCCTACGCATTTCATGAACACAAAAGGGTCACTAACAGTT